AAATTCAGGAGCTTGGCAACTGGCATGTACTTAAGTCTTGTTGCAGTGTCCTGGGTCATGTCAAAGTCAATGGGGAAGCCAGATTCACTTAACAACATAATTACTAACTTAACGGCAGTGATTCACTTAAGAACTGCATCAAGAGAGGCTGTAAAATGGGGCCGAGCTTACTTCATGACTGCCTCACTTAGCAACAGAAATTTTAGGCTCAATTGTGGTCGTAAACCGAGGACTGCCTGTACCTAGTTTTGGACAAGATCAAAACATTGTTTAGTAGCAGTCGTAATAATAGTAACACTATTATTCATTTTGCACCAGTAATTAAAAACAGTACGGGTACAGAATTCTAGCTGAAACAATAATACAAGAGAGTTAATCCCTTATAATGGGCGGTTTATTAATCTAATAACCAAATGTAATCAGGCGGTTTTTTCCATTTTAACTGGATTCTATTCCTATTCCTTATGTCCTTCCCCTCCTCCCTGCTTGGATATTTTAACTATTTTCCTTTTCCTTTAGGTCTTTATCTCCTCAACCTCCCCGTTTCCCTTTCCCTTTCATTTGTTTTCCAGACAGATGGACGATAGATAGAAAGGAAGAGAAAGAAAAAAGAAAAAGAGAGACAGATGAGATGATCCATAGAGGAATGGATGGATAGATAGAGGATAGATATGAACTGCAATTGGTTTATGCTAAGTTTTATTTTGATTTTGTTCTGACTTTTTAGATAGCTCTGATCATTTTATTGAAGAACCAACAAGTGTGGAAAACTCCAATATTTCATTTGATGAGTGAGAAAATTATTACTTTCTTTGTCATCTTGTTAACATCCTTTATTCTGTCTCCTTATTTCTTTCTGAATCTCAAAGGATTGAAAAGGCCTTGAAAGTTTTGTTTTGCCGTTTTCTAGATTTTTTCCCCTCCATTGTTATATGACACTTCTTGTCACTTTAGAGAAATAAACATTACAGACAAGCCAGATAAAATCTTCTCCGTCCTATTTTATTTAAGCCATCCAACATAGGTTTAGAGGGTTTTTTTTTTAATGGTAAAACACAATTTATACAGGAATAATGTATCATTCTGTGCCAATGAGCAATATGTTTTTGTTTAGAGTGGTTTAAATAACATTCAAACATCCTGCATGAATGTTATTTAACTTTCCAACTTCCTTCTAACTCTTAAGAGTATAGTATAGGCTCTTTAAAGTTCATTGCTCTAAAAATAAACGAAGCTGCATTGGGCATAATGTGCCCTTTCTCTCTCCATTATGTTTTGGCTTTAATAGCTCAGTGACTTTGCACTCTGCTGTGTTCCTGCTTGCAAAGAAGTCAATATTCTCTTATTGCTAACTCAGTATCTAAAAAAGCTGTTTGATTATTCAGCTGACTCTAAAATGAATTATGTTTTAGAAAATATAACTATTCTGGGATGCAGAGCTGGTCTGACTTCAGATGCTTCTGATGTACAGCATGCTGGAGGGAAAGTACCTTTTTTGGAAAAAAATAATAATCCAGCTTTTAAGACTAGAAATAATCAGAACAATAAGCCAGAGGGGCAGATTCTCTGTGGACTGCAAAAACACTTCGAGAAGAAGTGAATAAATTTTATTCTGCAATGTATGTCCATCTCAAATGCAAGTTGTACTTTTATACTCCTTTTGTTCTTGTTTTAAGAATCACATTTTTTATATTAAGGAGGTCTTTCAGAGCAAAACAAATTTTTGTCTTAAGTTACTCTTAGGACAGGCCTTCATGCAACAGAAAGAAACCAAACACTTTCCGAATAATTATAATTATTATTTGAGTTTGCATAAGAGTTTTCATGTCTATGGAGATTCTCAGTCATCCAGGTTATGGTTGTCCAAAGGAGCTTTTTCAAGAGGCAACTGGAAACCAGAAAATCTTGAAAATGCACCTTTGTTATAAGAGTTTTAAGAAAATTAAAAAGGGCAAGAAGACAAGGGTACTTGGGAGCCACTTTTAATAACAGGATTCCTGGAGAACAGTTTTGATATAAACATCTCCAGTCAGAAGTAATTCAAGTACACCTGTCCTAAGGTAGCCTGATACAGGTAGTCCTCATTTAGTGATCTTTCAAAGTTGCAACGGCACTGAAAAAATGATTTATGTCTGGCATCCTCATGGGTCGTGTGAGTTTGGCAACTGGCATGTCTATGAAAGTTGCCAGCCAGCTTCTGACAAGCCAATTCAAGGGGGGGAGGGGGAGCAAGATTCGCTTAACGACATGATTCACTTAGCAGCAGTGATCCACTTAACAACTGTGGCCAAAAGTTCACGAATGGGTTGTACAAAGTTAGCACCCACCCCCTCTTAAAAGAATGAAATATTTTAGGAAACATTAAAAAGGCAGAAGATTAGTATTTTCCCTTAAAGGAGAAATATGTTTCTAAAGACAGAAACTAGCCAAAGCTCTCTGTCCCAAGGAGAAACTAAGGGGCCAACTTTTAGAAATGCAGATTTGGTAATCCATTCAAGACAGGATTAAAACCCCGGGGCACCTAGGATTAATTATGAAACAGGATTTTAAAAAAACCAACTCATTGCTTGCCTTCCTGAGACAAATTAATTAAAATCAAATAACAAAATTACACAAAACAAGCCTCTAGATTACAAAGTGCTGTAGAAGAAACTATATGTTCTGTACTCGTCAAACCAATTGGTCAGCTGCCCAGGACCTCAAACCCATGTGGTCCTGTCCACCAATAAACCATCTTTCCAATCAGCCTCCATGTTTCCAGTGTCTTTTTCCCCACTTGGAACTGAAAAAACCCACTTTCCTCACTTAGCCATGGAAACTTTGGACTGTTGGAATTTAAAACCCACCCCTCTCCTAAAGAAATGAAATATTTTAAGATATATTAAAAAGACAGAATATTTCCCCTAAAAGAGAAGTAGAAACTCAGAGAGGCAGAAACTCAGCCCCCCCCCCCGCTTTCTAATAGGTCATTAAGGCCTTGGCCTATCTGTCTGTCTATCTATCTATCTATCTATCTATCTATCTATCTATCTATCTATCATCTATCATCATATATATAATAAGAAATCCTTTCTTAGAGAGCACCTGGAAGCCAAGAGGAACATACATGCCAATACATACAGAGGAGAGGAGTGTCAGTTTTAGTTTCAAGCACCAGCAGCTTTAGTACAGAACAGTTGAGCTAAGCCACACCCAGGCTCCTTGCTGTCTCCTTGCTCACACAGCAAATACTTCAATTTCCAAACAGCCCTCAACTCTCTCACATATTGACAGGATGCTAGCCAGATAAATACCAATGGAGGCTGGTAGGCAGAGGCAGAATTTCCCCCCCTTATTTTCCTCCCCCAAAACTAAACCCAACCACATAATTTCATAGCGAAGCACAGGTATTGAGCTAGTTTGTTAATAACAGAGCAAATACAAGCATGAAGGCTCGATCATTCCTTAAAAAAAAAGCTTTTAAAAGCATAAAAATGAGCACACCATTGAATTGTTCGTTACAGGACGTTGTAATGCCAACAGGTAAGACCTAAATTTTATGCTCACTTGTCTGTCACCAGCTGTTAGAAAAGCTGATGTTAAACATTGTCAAACCCAATGTGCTGCGCCGTACACAATTTTACCACGTTACGCGCGATAGACTCATTTTTGTCTAGCAAGAACTTAACAAAGATCTTCTCCCGGTAGAGTCATAATAGGAATTGCCCAGAGCCCTTTCATTACATCATCATCCAGCAAGGCTCAACCAAGCCTGGGACTCAGGACAGCCTACAGAATTGCCCCTGCATGGTCCAATGGGAGTCTGACAACCAATCAGAACACAAGCTCAAATTCAAATCCCAATGGAGGGCATAAACCCCCAGGGACTCTCAGGATCTCTTCCCTTTTTCTTCACCCAGGAGCTCCAAGCCATGTGATCCTGTCCACCATTATACCATCTTTCCAATCAGCCTCCATGTTTCCAGTGTCTTTCTTCCTCATTTGGAACTGAACCCAGGCGGATATTTTCTTCCAACAGGACTTAATTGTGGTCATAAGTCGAGGACTACCTGTATAGGATTCTAACATCTATGAAACATATGATAAATTTACTAAAGGATAGGAATTTATAAATATTAGTTCTAGGCCTCTTTGCTCTTTAAGTAATAGAATTTATTTATAAAAACACATAATTATAATCCAATAACAATATTAGATTGTGTTTTATACGGTAGAGATAACAGGTAATTTACAAGACATAGGAAGTAACTGCCACTTAATATTTACTATGAAATATCTAAATGACTATCAAAATGAATCAGAGAAAAATATTAGTTTCACTATAGAACGTGTTGTGATGTCTATTTGTATGACTTTTTACCTTTTATTTTTGTATATTTGTATATTTTAACTTTTTGTATTTAATAAAGTTTTTTAGAATCTTTTTTTAAAAGGATTCTAACATGAGGATACCCAGTTTCTAACTGAACTTGAATGTATCCCCTGGAGGGAATTTTTGCAATGGCCTTTGGAACTCAGCAATTTTCCAAGCTCCACGTTTTCCCAGCAAAAATTAAGAGATGTTTCTTCGGTTTGCAAAGAAAACGTCCATTTCCCCACTTTAGGAATTGGTGGAGGGCCCCAAACAGCTGAAGACAGCAATACACGTGTCCCTAAGAACCGTGTTTACTAATGACCGAGAGCTTCCTGGGAATTGTTGTTCCTCAACTCGGTATCGGGCGCTGTTAGAAAAAAAGAGAAAACAACAACGCCCATAACCCTCTTCGGCTCGGGGAGGCGGGCCAACCTCCATTTATGAACGCCTCGTTCAGCTTGACTGGCTTCCAAGCAGGCCAATCGGGAGCGCGGAAGACATCAAAACAAGTCTTGTTTTTCTTCAGCTGGACCTCTGACAGGCAACGGCGTCATCCAATCAGCGGAAAGAAGCCCTGCGATGGGCGTCCGCGCCAGCCATTCAGATGCCGAGCCCGATGGAAAAGGGGCGGCGATTTCGAGCGAGGTGGGAGGAGGGGAAGGAAAAGGAAAAAAAACCCTATAGGGAGTCCTGTAATGGCGACGGGGTTGGTAAGTAGTTCAGAAGTTTTGAAGTGTTTTGAGACGGGTGGAAGTTGAGGGGTAAGTGGGAAACGGGTGACTCCCATTTTTTTTGGCGGGCTGTCACTGAGGGGATAGACGCTGCCGAGAAAGGACGGGGGACGCCCGTGTCATTCTTCAGCTTGTTCAGACGGGGGAGAAAATGAAAGGGGGATGAAAAGGCTCCGGGATTCCTTGAGGAATTTGAGAGGTTGCTCATCAACACTGAGTGACTTTTTACCTCATGGCTCCCAGTTATGAGGCGTACTTAACTCGGGGTTCCCTCTTCCCACTCTCTCCCCCCCACAATTTCCCGGTCCTTTGGGGCCCCTCAGAAGCATTTTAGCCGAGGGGGCCCCTCCCTCTCAGGAAAGGGGGCCCTTCCGAGCTCGGGGACGAGCGCCCCTCCCCCATCGCTTTCTCCTCACTGTTGTTACGCACTTCTGAATGAATGGGGCCTTTCGGCGCATGCGCCTTGGCCCCCCCCGGAGGAAAAAGTTTATAAACAAGGGCCTCTGCCAGGCGTCGGGCACGTGACTTGGAAAGAAGGGGCGGGCAAGGGCGGAGGGAGCGAGAAGCGGCTGTGACAGCGCCGGCCCCTGGACTCCGCCCCCCTCGGTTCAAAAGGGGACCAATCAGCTCCGCGAGGCTCCTCCGCCCGCGGGCGCGTGACGTCCCCTCAACGGTCCTCCTCCTCCCCCCTCCCCCTCGGGGGAGCGCGCGCGCGCGACGCCAAAGGCTGTGCGCGAGCTCGGTGCGCTTCCTTGCTTGCGGGGCGGGGTCTTTTTCTCGCCCCGCCCACTCCTTGTACGCTGAATACGGAAGTGTTCTGGTTTGCTGCGGTGGGAGCCTAACAGCTGCTTTGCAGCAATGGAGCGACGGCATGGGGGCGGCTGCTCCTCTCTTTTTTTTTTCTCTGGGGTGCTTCTTCCCCCCCCAAGCCTTATTTCTAAATCTGTAACAAGTGACCAGGATGGATTCGTTTTGCTTTTAAAGACATACATTATGTCATTAAGGGGCTGCCACAAAGAAGAGGGGGGCGGGTCAACCTATTCTCCAAAGCACCAGAAGGAGTAATGTAGGGGTCTTCAAACTTGGCAGCTTTTAGACTTGTGGACTTCAACTCCCAGAATTCCTCCTCCAGTCACGGTGGCTCAGGAATTCGGGGAGTTGAAGTCCACCAGTTTTAAACTTGCCAAGTTTGAAGGCCCTTGGTCTTTTCTATCTATTCTTTATCCTACCTCTATCTATTCAATCAATCAATCTATCTATCTATCTATCTATCTATCTATCTATCTATCTATCTATCTATCTAT